AACGAGTCGATCAACCAATCACTCAGTCATGGGGAGCCCAAATGTTATTAAGCCTAACCTCAGCCAAGTTGTCACGCAGCTCCCACTTCCACACTTCCAGTGACAGGAAGCTCACTATTTCCAGGGGCAACATGGTTTTAGTTTTAGGTCATCCTTATGATGAACCAGGTTCTCCACCTCCTGGGTTTCCCTATCAGCCCGTCGGCCTGCAAGTGGGACCCAGGACATGTTTAAAATCTTTTTTATGGGCTGGTACCCAAGTAGGTAAGGGAAAGCACAGAACCTCATAGCTGGACCTTAGAGGCTACAGGTCTCCTGTTCATCTCCTCATATTTCAGATGAGGTTCTGGCCAGAGAAGGTCTGTGACTCACATAAGGCCACACAGCTGGCTAAGGGCTGAGCCAAGACCAGGTCACAGACCCAACTTTCAACTGTGTTCCTTCTAAATCCCACAGCCCCTCCGGGACCTCCTCCAGCCTTACCCACATTGGGAACCCCCTTCCCACAACAGCCAGTCCCACTCCATGGTGCTGAGGATCTGCTTCCCGAGGAGACCCTCGGCCTGGTTTAGAAAGTCATCTCTGGTCATTCCCAGTGAGAGGCTCAGGGCTGAGACCTGGGGTCCAGGTATGAGGCGAAGTCGCAGGACAAAGACCTACAGAGTGAGTGGGCTGCATAGCTCTTACCCACCCCAAGACAGAGGCCTCCCTCAGAGCAGCGGGCCCACGTGTGTGCATACACATGTGTGAGCATGTGTGTGTGTGTGTGTGTGTGTGTGTGTGTATGCGCGCGCGCGCGCGCGCATGACTGTGCGCCTGAGCCTCCCGGAGTGAGAGGAACACGCAGCAAGCTGTCAGCAAATCCTGCCAATGCGGAAAGGGTAATCGCCACACACGATGCCAACAGACAGAACTCCGGCAGATTCATTTGGTTTGATTTTGTGGTTATTTTTTTTACAACTTTAAATACGGAATATAAATAAATTTTACATTTAAAAAATAAAAGGAAAGCCCCCAAAAATATAATCACCGACTTTACAAACTGAAGGAAGCAGATTGGGGGGAGGGGGAGGGGAAAATTGCAGTGGAAGGTGGGAAGGGAGGTGGAGCTCAGAGCCCACCCCTAGGGGAACCTGGGGATCTTTTCCCTTTCTCCCCCACTCCCAGCCCAGGAGCTGGTTTCCTGGAAGGGGCCACCAGAGGTGGAACTCAAAAGCATCTAAGATGGGGGAGTGTGCATGGGGGCATAAGGGCTGCCCCACTCCCTTGGAGACTTTCTCTCGGGTTTTTCACACCTGCTTGGAAGGGAGGCTGCTTGAGCTGAGGACTTGGGGAAATAGAGGACAGATGGACACTGTGTTACCTGCCCACCTCCCCACCAGGAGCTCACTCTTATCTGGCCACTTTGAGTCACCAGCTGGGTCAGAGGCACAGCCAGTCCACAAGAGCCTTTGTGTCAATTAGGAAAAGGATCTCTTTCCTTAAGACACTTGACCTCCACCTGCCAGAAAATTGTCATAATAAATATACAAATTGGCCATGTCTATGATGTGATCGGTGATCCCTGCAGACAGTGCCCTTGTGCAGTGCCCAACCTGCACAACCTTACATGGCAGTCTTGACTGGGCTGGGATATAATGCACAGGCCCCCTGCTGCCCTGGCCCCTGGTCTTCTGCCCTAGGAAGCAGTGACAGGGGTCATTTGGAGCCTCAATAAGAGGTGTTCCCCTTGCTGGAGCAGACTGAAGGGCCAGGACAAGAGAAAGATGCAGGGTGGAGGTAGAGAGATGAAACAGGGGAGGAAGTGAAAGGGGGGAATGGGAGGAGACAGTGGATGCCCAGGTCACCATCTACACCCCCCTCCAGAGCAACCTTCATCTCTAACCCATCTGAGAGGGCATTTGGCTGCCTGGCACTCAGGCCACACTCGCTTGGAGGAGTCCACATCTTCAAATATTTCATACATGTAACATGAAAGGAAGCCACTGTGAGCAGAGGTGACCAGAGAGAGGTGACTGGGCCTGGGCACGGTGAGAGGGGGTTTTCTCCAGTCTGTGCTCCCCCACCTGGTCTCGGCCACAGGAGTACGAAGCATTCTGGCCTGCCTGGGGGTGCTCCCGTCAGAGCTGGCTGGAGGTCCAGGGGCCAAGCAGGCCATGCCGAGAGGTCCTCAGGGCCACATGCAGGGTTCCTTGGGCCAGTCCACAGCACTTAGGTGTGGCCTGGGCCAGGTGCTGGGGAAGGGAGCCCCTTCCCCCATCAGTCTCTCTTGCACCCTTATCCCAGATTCTTGGGGTTGGAGGAGGAAGACCTCGATGGAATCCAGATCTTTTTGTTTCCTTCTCAAGCTTCCGGGCAAGATGCTGGAGGCCGCTGAGGGGAGACCCACTGGCAGAGGGGTGGACGGACGTGTGGAGGGATGGGGGAAGCACCATTGGCCGTCCGAATCAGGCATCGAGACAGACGGACGAGGGGAACAATATTATCACTCCAAGGACCCCATGGGGGCAATACAGCAAATACCATATTAAATAACCCTGTAAGACAAGCAGAGGGATACAGCGTCAGAAGCACCCTAGGAGCCCCATGCCACGCTCACATGGCCCTCTTGCCAGGGACAGGGAGCTGGGGTCGACCAGTCATCCCTGATTTCCAGCAGTACTCAGAACTGACCGCTGGTTTTCTGAGGGCATGCTGGAACACAGCTGGACTGGGGCCGCCAAAGCCCCCCGCCCACCTGCCCCATGGAAAAACTCAGCTGATAACTGGGCAGCGGGGATCAAAGCTTAGGGCCTACATGCTGTATGGGAAAATGCTTCTCCCCAACCCCTTCCACAGCCCAAGCCACAGGCCAAGGAGAAGGAAACACAGGGTTGTGGGCCACAGTTTCCCCTCCTGGCCCTCACCTGCCCGCACTCTCCTGCAGATGCCCCTAGGCTCCAAGGGTCTCCTTCAGTGCCTTCTTGTCATGCGTGTGCTTGAATTTCCTGTGCTTCCCCTTGGGGGGCCGGCGGACTCGCACAGTCCGAATGGTCACCCGCGTTTGCAGTGTCCTGGCTGCTCAAGAGAAAGAAAGGACTTGTCAGCAGGCCAACAACCACTGGTGTGTGGGTGGGTAGGGGGAGGTCTATCTCTCTCGACCGAAGTCTGCCACAGACCTTCCCAGAGCCTCTGGGCTGAGCGTAGAGGCCAGACCTCCTGGGCTCGAATCCCAACTCTGTCACTCACCAGTTGTATGTGCCTTGGGAACAATTACTGAACCACTCCATGCCTCAGTTTCCCCATCTATCTATTAACCAATAAAAGGAGGCAGAGTGATGCTGTGTCAGTTCCAGGCATAAGCCTTGAAAAGGCCTGGCAGCTCCCACATTTGCACTTTGGGGAGCCCCGTGCTGCCACATAATAAGTCTGGTTACCCTGCTGGGGAGACCACCTGGGGAAGAGAAGACCCTGAATGACAGGGAAAGGGATAGAGACCCAGCTGTCCCAGGCGGCCTCCAGATGACTGACTGTACCTACGAGAGACAGCAGTAGAACCACCCAGCTGAGCCCCATCAGCCCACAGACCTAGAAGAGAAGGAAATGGTTGTTGTCTCTGCCGTTAAATTCAGCTAAGCTGTGATCAGAGAATGGCAGCTGCTCTTATAAACTTTCCTCTCATCTCCTCGGCTTGACCCATTGAGGTTTCCCTCCTACCAACCTGTCAGCCCCTTGCAGTCTTGTGATGGGTGAGCCACTGGTCTCTGGGCCAGAACTAGACCCCCCACCACGGAGCTGAACTTGTCCATCAGTTGTGCCCGACGTCTGCCGGCCCTCGCTGTACAGTGGAGCAGGCCAGAGCTCAGGTGGTGGGCCAGATCACCTGGTTTCAAATTTGGGCTCTCCCACGTGTTGGTCATGTGGTTTGGGGCAAGTCATATAAACTCCCTGTGCCTCAATTTCCATATCTCTAAAACTGAGATGCCAGCAGCCCTGGCCTCCTAGGATTAGGAGATAATACATGGAAATAGCCAGAAACCTTTAGCAAGCACTTACCATGCACCTGATCATGTTCTAAGCTCATTTATCCTCAAAGCGATACAAGTATCTATATATAGCAGGTGAGGAAACTGAGGCAGAGAGACTGGGATTTGAACCCAGGGATCTGTCCTGAGTCCAAACTGTCAACCCCCCTGCTGTAAACCACAGGGCCTGTGAGCCTCGGTCAAGGTTAGCATTTAGACCTCTCTTCCTCCTGGGCCCCCAGGTAGAAAATGAAAGCTTTCTGTGCCCAAGCTCAAGGCCCACCCCACTCTTTGGGGTAAACACCTGACCTCCCACCTTGCAGACACAAGCTCCCATAAAGTAGTTACCCCATCTCTGCAATTCAGGGACTTGGGACCTTTGTACCCAGAAGGACCATTGAAGGCTCTGGAGTTTCTGATCCAGAGACCAGGCCACCAACAGGACACTGGGCTGGCAAAGCCTAAGCCAACTCAAGGTTATCATACAGCTCGCAAGTGACAGAGCAGAAATTTGATCCCAGGGGTCTGACCACCATATCACACAGGCCACACCACCAAGCCTTAGCCCGGCCAGGACAGTGTACAGCCACCAGAAGTACCGTCACATGGGGCCAAAATGCTACAACTAAATAGCAAGACATTATCTACATACTAATTGGTTCAACATGCCTCCCCCAAGAAACTGGTTAGGAAAATCATGTGGAAAAAAAAAATGCTTGTAAAACAACCCTGTTCTAAACATGAAGAAGAATATAATTTTTCCTAAACAGAAAAATCATTCTCCGTGTTAACTCTATAAATAATTTACAGCATGTCAGTTTGAAGCCGTCA